GGAAAGAGTTTTCCTCTCTGGACTCTTCTTCTTCATGATGTGTGTGGCTGAGAGGACGTATAAACAGGTGAATATGAACATGCCTTGGCATTAATTTTTTATGTTATGGAGTGTTTGTAATAAATGCGTTACTAACGTTTGTTTGTTGCCACCTTTAGGCTAAAATGTTCATTTTACATTTGTTCGATTCAGTATGCTAATACATTTTTACATTTCAAGTTGCATAAATTAACAGCTATTGTATTATTGTGAACTAACATGCAAAAGTAAAGTTAGCAAATTGAACTTCTTTGTAAAGTGTTGTTGAAATCTCAGTGCCACAAAATCTTTATACAGCTAAACAGGATGTTTTGTTCTCAACGAATGTGATGTCATCTACAGCGCCTTTTATTTGCGAAACTCTTCAGCCATATCACGTCCGCACGCAAAGCCAAAAAATCTGAGATTCCTCACTTTCGGCTGAAGAAAGTGCAAAATATCAAGATGTGGCTTTCACTTCGATCATTCCTGAAGGTATCATCTTCCCACTACATAAGGGATGCACTATAGAATTTTTTTTGGCTGATATTAATGATTATTTTTTATATATTGACAGATCTTCATAGACATACAATTTTGCATGCTAATTTCTGCTATTTTTACATTTAGATTACCTTTGCTGTCATCTAATGCTCACATGAAGTTCATCTCTTAATTTACTCTAATAATTTAATAACACTGTTGAATGTAAGCTTTAGTACATCTCAAAATTGTACAGTTTTTATACTGTATATAACAATGTTGTGATTCTTAAATTCACTTGTAGCATTTGAAATGGTTAAATTTTAGTTTATATATATTATAAATGTATTTAGACAAAATAATATAGAATTTTACCTATAACATATTTTGAATATTTAATTTCACCTTTAAGACATTTTACCAAAGCTGTTTTGGTTGCTTTTCAATTTCAATCCAACTAGCTTAACCAGTCTGTTTATGTAAGCACAAATGACAGTGAATGAGTGTTTCTGCAGGCAGTGACATTTGTATAGTCCTGTTTAAAGATACATGTACCTAGTTGACATTACATGAAGATACCAATTTAATTTAATTTCTCTGTTCTGTTTAACAGAGACGAGGCCCTCAGCGATCCGTCGATGTCATTGTATCATCGATTTTCCTCCTGGCTTTGTCTATTTCCTTCATCATCTGTGCCCAGGTCAGCTGTTGTTCTATCATACCATGTTTTTGACATACCCTTTAGACCTTTTCAAGGTTTGCCTTCCCAAAAATCTAATCCTATTTACATATATGCTGTACCTTTTATGTCATTTGTTCTGAAACATAGAAACACACCCTATTTCTATAATCCCACCCTAGTACCTTTGAAGATAAATGTGACATTTAACTTGAATTATAACTTAGCAGTGTTGTTATTGTTTGCTAAAACGATTAAAATTCATATATAAATAATACTAGAATAACACTGTCACTTAGGTTGTCTCAAACTTTTTCGATTTTTTTTTTGCCATTTGGATTTAGTAAGAATAGTAGTAAGTATAAATGTGGTTTTGACTGGTAGTATGTGCCATAAAGTCATCTTTTTGAGAAAATTTATTAATTGATATCAATCGTTTATATTAGGTTAAGTAAAGTATCAGATTACTGCACCTGGTAAATCTATTCACAGTTTGAAAATGTGACTGTAATAAAGCAAAGATAACTGGTATTGTGTTTCAGCTTTTGCACAGTCATCACACATTTCTGGACTCGGAGACCAACTGGGAGCTGATGGTCTGGTGTGCTGCTCTAATGGTTTTCCTCCTACGCCTCGCTACCCTCGGAGCTGAGACCAACCGAAAGTACAGCAACGCTTCTGTGCTTCTGACTGAACAAGTGAGATAAAAATCTCAGCCGCACATAGGGGTGTGCGATATCCCGATTTTTGATTGTGGACGATTAAAGTGTCGCATAAATATCTTTAATAACGTAGAAATATTGTACTATTTTGCTACAGCGCACATTCTATCAGTAGCAGTTCTGGCGCCTCCGTCTCAATATATTGTACAATGCCACATACATTCACATCAAATGTTATAACTCAGTGGTAGAGTTACACTCATGAGACACTGCACACTTTAAAGCCTTGCCGGAAGAGTTTGAGAGAGGCGGGGCATAGAGGACCTACAATAATGTACAGTATTTGAAAAATAATGTGTTTTTTGAACATTAAAGCATGTCAACATATTCGGTTACACCAAATACACAAAATAATGATATTTAAAAAAGCATCGTATGACCCCTTTAAACATTTCATAGTGCTGTTCTGACATGCGCCTTTTCTGAGCGCGTACACCTGAAGCGCACACACACTAAAAAGCAAGTAAATGATGACAGAATTTTCGGTTTTGGGTGAACTATCCCTTTAATGTTAATAAAACAAAAAAAAGCACAGAGAAAAATCACTCTCTGCTCTTGACTGAAGAACTTTAATACAGTTGTGTTAATAAGAATCAATGTATAATTTATACAGTGACATGTATATAGTGTTATTTTTATATTTGTTAATTCAATTTCCTGAATGCTACTTCTAAATACACATAATGTACCTGAAAAATAAAGCACTATTTTGTATATTATGTGTATTTGTGATATGTATCTTTGTTCTTATTTTAAAGATAAAACGATGACAAAGATATAACGCCCACTTTGGCCTAAATGTCTCCCATTGTTTTTTTATTTTCTATTTGTAAGGCTTTGTTTTTAAAATAGGGAAATTAGTTTGGCTGTACTGCTCAGACAACTTGCAAAATAGTAAAACCAAAATCACAAAGAATCATGATAAAATCGTGAATCGTGATTTTCATGAAAAAAAAAATCGTGATATGATATTTTTGCTACAGTATATCGCCCACCCCTAGCCACACAGAACAAAGAGGCAGTATTACTCAGAATCAAGTGAAGTTGAACCATTCATAAGTGCGCACTACGCAGGTGCAAGTAAATGGCGCTAGCATTGCTTAAAGCGGAGTTTTGTGTTTGGCGTTACATTTTCTGAAAACACTTTACAATAAGGTCCCTTTAGTTAACATTTGTGAATGTACTGACTCTCATTAACATTAACAATTCGCAGCACATATTAATCTTTGTTAATGTTAGTTAATGAGAATGCATCTGTTCATTAGTTAATGTTAGTTCATGTTTATAGAAGCTTGTTTCCACTACTGGCTAAAAAATGAAAAAGGTAATTGCGACCTTTTTTCTCAGAATTGGGAGATATAAACTCAGAATTGCAATATATAATAATGCTAAAGATATTTAGCATTATTAAATGTCAAAATTAACATTAAGATGAACAAATTCTTGAACAAATTCTAAAGTATTTTCATTGTTAGTTCATTTGAACTGGTGTAAGTAACTAATGTTAGCAGTTGGAGACTTACTGTAAAGTGTTAGCCATTTTTTGTTTCAGATAAACTTGTATCTTAAGATGGAGAAGAAACCCAACAAAAAGGATCAGCTGAACATAGTGAACAATGTGCTGAGGCTGGCCACAAAATTACTGAAAGTAAGACCATCAGAAAATTGCCATTCATCGGGAAAAAAATAAAACATGTCAGGCTTGCATTGACCATCATTTGCTACTTTCAGGAATTGGACACTCCATTTCGTCTGCTGGGTCTGACGGTGAACCCTCTGATCTACAATATCACGAGAGTGGTCATCCTGTCAGCCCTCTCAGCTGCCGTCAGCGATTTACTAGGGTTCAACATCCGGGTGAGGGGAACATTTGCAGACCAAGCACAGTGGTTATCTCCACCTGTATCCTGGGTCTGTTTTATTGTCCCGCTGACATGCAGATGTCTGGAGTTATTAATCTTGGTGATCTGTGTTTTTATGAGTCTAAAATCATAACTGCATCTGTACTACTTCCTGTTATCAGCATAGTGGGAGCTGCTCACTCTTTGTAGTATATGACTTTTATCACACAGCAGTATAACATATACATGCAATCTTTAACAATATCCATCTTTTTTTTCTTTTTTAACAGCTCTGGAAGATCAAACCTTGATGTGATGCTTTTACATTGCCAGCGTCTTAACACTGAGGCCAGAGAGACTCTTAAATGTGCTTGTGCACAACCTACCAGATGACCCAAGTTATCTTTTAAAAACTGTGCGAATCTACTGACCAAACTAATACATGACTTTTCTTCCATACCCTGTGCCTTCGGCCAGTCCAAGCAAACCTGTGTTCAGCTCAGCTTTTTTTTTGTTGAGCTCGTATTTGAATTGTAGAACCATAAAGCACACTTGCTTTCTTGATGCACTTGCTTACTGTAACTACTTAACAGCTTGCTGTTATATTCCAATTAGTGACCGCTGTTTCCCATAAATGTATCCTCTGGAAGCGTATTATCTGGTCTGGAAGCAACCACTTAAAACAGAACCACTATGTGCCTTGTGAAATGCATATAACAGTACTTTTTTAAATAAGCTATTTATGAGACATGGATTTGTCAACCGCTGAATGGGTAATGAAATGAAAGTTTTGAGCTTTTAGTAAAGGGTACTGAAAAACTTGCACACTGAATCTCTTGGAGGGAGCACCTTTTACTGGCATTGTATTAAAATAAACACAACTTTCTCTAAGAAACTTCCTCAATTAATCCTTAACAAAATATTTGAGTTTAGGGTGGGAGGAGTTTTCACATATAAAATTTTAACAGCAGTGAAGTATTGTGAATGCACTATTACTGACGACTCAAAAATCTTATTTTTAGTTTTAATTTATCATAATTAGAAAAGTGAGGGTTCTGTGATTTTACTGCTATACTTTTATACAGCAATCACTGGATAGTTCGTGAACGAATCATAAAAGCAAATAAGAAATATGCTACAAGAAATTTGAGTGTGTAAAAATGACATATGGACGTTATTAAAACTTCGTATTTATTTATGATGTTATTGTCTTTTTCTATAGTTTTATAAAAAATTGTTTGTGACTTTTAAGATGTAACGATGAAAGTGTCACTGAACGAATCCGTTCAGGAATCGAAAGAATGGATGATTCAAAAGAGTCGAGTCTGAGGTGAATCAAAATCACCACCACTTACCAGCGCGCTGTAATGTTTGGTGAAAGTCTACTATTCACTTCACAGACGGACGCGATGTCATGCTTTCACAGGTATTACGGTAAGTAAACAGTGACGTCGAGACACACCTTCACTCACGAGCTTGGCGCTGGTTGCTATGGAAGGTCATCAAGTGCAAAATCGACAGAAGCAACAGCACCCTGCGCAAACACATTAAACCTGCTGGTAGGACCGGTGGAGACGGAATGAAATACAGACCCCCTGAGCTTGAAGGGACAACCATTTGGAAACAGTAAGGTCTCACGTTTTACGTATCTCAGTCATGTGTTTATTTTAATCTATTCATTTTATGATGTAATGACTGATTGCTGACAAACCCTCCGCACAGGCTACTGTTTACTGATGACCGAACATGGAATCCTCAGCATCCTCTTCTCTGTTACAATGTAGCGCGACGTTTGTTGTTACTGCGCTGCGGGTCATTAAGAAAATGACGATGTGGCAAGAATAGAAGCTGCAGTGTCACTGAATAGAGCATTTTGTGAGGAGAAAATGTTTTAAATTGTCGTTAGTTCTTTTTAATAAACCAATAACGTAGGCTGCGTATATTGTCCTTATTCCACCTCTACTCTCTGCAGGAATGTTTTTACAGCAGGAGGAGTAAGTGAGTGATAAAGTCTGTCAGATTCTGCATGGGTGCCGCAGGAGGCTGGTCCAACCTGTTCTGCTGAAGCCAAGAAATCAGAATCCAGAGGTCAAGAGAAGAAATGCTGTAAGTACACACTCTTTCACATCCCACAGATCTAATAAATTGAATGAAACCATGTTTAAACTGGCCTAAGGTGGTCAGCTGGTTATGCTGGTCTGTTTCATGGGTGTTACAGAGGATTGGGCTACTGAGTTTCCCACATAACAGTTTTGTTCCTGACCTATTCAATTTTAACAACAGCCCTGGATCATTTCACAGTTGCCCTTCTTATAATGTCAGCTGTCACTGAGGCTGTTAAACAGAAGTTCACTGTCAGTCTAGATTAGAAATAAACCTGCTGTGCTTCCCTTTATTTATATATGCATTGTCCGTTATGCTGGTTTCAAATTGCAGATCAAGGTAAAGGCACATTTGTTTAAGGTTTGTTCTAGGTATTTTTTCCAGTCATTATCAAATTGCTGACCTGAGGCAATGTTTTCTTAATACACAATTCTTTCATTATTTACAAAAAAAAAAAAGTTCAGTGATTTCATTTGCATTTTACATTCGTTTGGTCTTTTTGGTTAAAAAATAGAAAAAAAGTAATTTTATGTACTTATTTAAAAACCATTCATTTATCTTGGAAGAATAACTAAATAGACACAATACTGTTTTATAAATAGTATTGAAAGAAATGTAATGCTTTAAATTAGACTGGAGTCAATATATTATACACCACTGTTCAAAATATTTTTTTGATTCATAAAGGACAAAAATTGATCAAAAGTGACAGTAAGGAAATTCATAATGTTATTGTTATAATCATATAATATTCTTTTGAACTTTATATTCATCAAAGAACCTGAAAAAAATCTGTCACAGTTTCCACAAAAATATTAAGCAGCACAACTTTCGATTTTCAGCAAGGATAAGAAATGTTACTTGAGCATCAAATCAGCATATTAGAATGATTTCTGATGGATCATGTGACACTGAAGATTGGAGTCATGGCAAAGAATTTGCCTTAATGCAAGCGAGGTGTCAACAGTCACAGAGTTTCAGGTCCTATTTTGTAGTTTGTTTGTGGAAAGTACCATAAACCACAAGTGCAAACATCTTCTTTTGGTGTCCCATATGTGAAATTTACATTTGACAAATTATAATTGTTAGTACTGTAGATTGTAACTTCCTCTAGCTCATTTTGTGTTGTTGATATTGTCTGTCTGTTTTTCTGTGCCTGTCTGACCACAGCATGGGCGTCTTACATGACTAACTCCCCCACCATGATTGTCATGATCGGCCTCCCTGCCAGAGGCAAGACGTACATGTCAAAGAAACTCACGCGCTACCTCAACTGGATTGGAGTTCCCACAAAGGGTGAGTGGGCAGCTGAATTTAGACAGTTGCAACATATCAAATGACACTCACTATAAATATCATCTGTTTTCACTTTTACATGCATCATTTAGCTCTCAGCTGACCATTCTGACATGATGGTCTATCAAGAGGCTAAATTGGAACTTGCATTATTTAAATGTGTAGGCAACCCAACACATTTCAACTCAAACTCTCATGACTACGTCATGACCCACAATGCAAGTGTTTTAATCACTGTAACTGAAGTCAGAGATTCCTAATGCAATGAGAATTGAACTATTCCATCTTTACATGCAGAGTGATGTCACCTTGATGCATAACAGTTGTGCTAGAACCGATAAAGGATGTGAAGATTAACCATAATTTCTTGTTTTTTTGGGGGTTATCTTGCAGTGTTTAACCTGGGGGTGTACCGGAGGGAAGCAGTTAAAGCGTACAAGTCTTATGACTTCTTCAGACATGACAATAAGGAAGCCATGAAGATACGAAAGTAGGATTATATTTTTGTTTAATTTAATGGGATGGTTCTCCCAAAAAGACCATTTTGTCATCATGCCTCACACCCTTATGGCTTTCCAAACCTTATGACATTCTTTCTTCCGTGGAACATGAAAGGAGATGTTTTGCAGAATGTCCAAGCTGCTCACTTTCATATGTTTACAATGTTAAATAATGATTTTAAAAAAGATGTACGTGTTTTCAGTAAACCAAGAAGCAAATGTGATTAAATAAAGCCAGTTAGACTAATGTGATGGTGGAATGACAAAAAATATATTTCAACACATTTCCTGAAGGTTACATTAGTGCACTTCTGACAGGTCAGTTCATGTTTTTCCTGAGAATTGAGTTTATTTGAATTCAGTGCATGTCTATTGTTGCATTTTTTCATTTTCCCAAATAGACAGTGTGCCTTAGTGGCCCTGCAAGATGTAAAGATCTACCTGAATGAGGAAAGTGGACAAATAGCTGTAAGGATTTACCTTTTTTTCTGTTCACCTCGATTATTTACTTAAATGTAATAGGGACGTGGAGTGTTTAAGAATGTTGATAAGGTTCAGGACTTCTTTCTTTATATTTGATATAATCTGTTTTTGTCCTTTTAAGGTATTTGATGCCACAAACACAACCCGGGAGAGGCGGGATCTTATAATATATTTTGTACAGGAGATTGCATACAAGGTATCACAACCAAATGTGCACTTCCATAGTTATCGTTTTGCAGAAGTGATGTGTGGTCATTATTTTCCTATTTGTGTTTGTTTACCTTTGCAGGTGTTTTTTTGTGGAGTCAGTATGTGATGATCCAGAGGTTATTGCAGCTAACATCCTGGTATGTTATGTTGTGATGTTTGGTTTTCATTTTCTTTAAACTAATGGTATAATGAAGTATAGCAACATACCAGAATTGCTTTTCATGATCTTCTCAACAGCTGTCTCTTATGTGCTCTTATTTCTTCAGGAGGTCAAGGTTTCAAGTCCAGATTATCCAGAGACACACAGAGAGAGAGTCATGGATGATTTCCTGAAACGCATAGAATGTTATAAAGTTACTTACCAACCACTAGATCCTGATGAATATGACAAGTAAGAATGTTTAGAAAATAGAGACATAACACATGTACATATATTTTCTGCTTTAGATTCAACCTTTTGTCTGTTTTGGCTTTATTTGTTTTAAGCAACATTGCAAGCATCTATGTAATATAATATAATATAAAATAAAATTATATAATAATGACCCATTTATATTGTAAAAAATACAACTATTATACATATGTCTAAATAAATATTTATTTTAAATTCGACGAATTCGAAATTCGAATTATTTTAATATGGTATGTATATATATATATATATATATATATATATATATTGGGAAATATTTATTTGGCACTGTCAAATAGAATAAAAAATTGATTAATGATGTCAAATTCAGTACATTTTAATGTTAGTCAGGGTTTCCTAAGCGAAGAACATATTTAAGATGACGGTGACCACATGACCAGAAGATAAACTGCTACTTTTAAGACATTTATAAGGCATTTATATGTAAATAACCTCTGTTTTGTTTCACTGTTATCTATTGCACAAAAGGTGCAGAACGGGTTTCACACCAGAGTTTAATTGTGTATTATAATAGTGTTTCATGGCTTAGCAGGCACCACTAATACAGAGAAAAAGGCTTTCCTGATCATAGCATTCACTTATTTTTCCTAGAAATTTGTCCTTCATTAAAGTGATGAATGTGGGCCGTCGGTTCCTGGTGAACCGTGTTCAGGACTACATCCAGAGCAAGATCATCTACTACCTCATGAACATCCATGTGCACTCGCACTCCATCTACCTGTGCAGGCACGGAGAGAGCGAGCACAACATCCAGGGCCGCATTGGAGGAGATTCTGAACTCTCTCCCCGAGGGAGACAGGTCTGAACTTATTTAGTGCTGTCTTTATAGCGTTTATTCATCAGAAGATGCTTGACTTTCTCTCTCCTTTGAGAGTAGTTTGCAAGCGCCCTGTGTGAGTTCATTGAGGAGCATAAGCTGTCCAACTTGAAGGTTTGGACCAGCCAGTTAAGGAGAACCATCCAGACAGCTGAAGAGCTGGGAGTTCCATATGAACAGTGGAAAATCCTCAATGAGATAGATGCTGTTAGTATGCTCCGATTCTAGCGGAGATTACATGCATTTTAATGTATTATATGTTAATTTATATGTGTTTATTGCTCTGACACAGGGTGTATGTGAGGAGATGACCTATGAAATGATCCTGAACACATTCCCAGAAGAGTTTGTTTTAAGGGATCAGGACAAATACCACTACAGATATCCAGGAGGAGAGGTACAGCACGTGATGAGCGTATCACTTTGTTGCAGTTCTTCAGAGATTGTTGCTTCTCACTCTCTGTAGTTCTGCAGGTTTTCTGGTTTTTGTTGCTATCTGTGTTCTTGTGGGAAGGTCTGACTATTTTAAAAGGCTCTCTCTTCTTGTAGTCGTATCAGGACCTGGTTCAGCGACTGGAGCCTGTGATTATGGAGCTTGAGAGACAAGGCAATGTACTGGGTCTTTTGGACTGAAGCAATGCAACACCCGCTGAGTGAAATGATAAAGCTTGAAAGATCAAAGACAATTTTTAATATACTGTACCTCCGACTGGATTCATCTGAAAGAAGAAAGTCATATACACCTAGGATGCCTCGGGGGTGAGTAAAACGCAGCCTAATTTTCATTTTTGGGTGAACTAACCCTTTAAGCTCTATTAACAGCATGACATGCCAGTTACCAAAGAAAATAATTTAGACTCTAACCTTAGTTTGTAAAAAATAAATAAATTTGAATGTAAATTTGCTTACAAATTTGCAATAAATGTTAAATGCAGTTATACATGACAATATGATAGTAGTGTCATAGAATCATTTACTTCAATATTGTACATCTAGAAAGGCAGTCACTTTCAAATGTGGTGTAATTAATATTACAATTAGAAATGTTGCATTGGCAAGTCAAAGTTCTAAAATTACTAAAACTGAGATAAAATGTAACTATATGAACTATATATTAACATATAAACTAATAAAATGACAAAAGCACATAGCAAAACTACATATACTAAAATCAAATTAAAAACTGAAAATATTTTTTAAAAATCAAAAATGTTAGTGATACTATAACAGTATATAAATAATACTAAAATAACACTGATTCTAAGTGCATCACTTTCAATGTAATTGTTATTTTTAACTGAATGATGAATCAAAATTTTTGTCTGCGGTAACAGCTTAACTTGTTAGCCCATAACATTCCTTTTAAGCTATGTTCTCTGTAGTTTAATCAAACTGTCAGTCAAAAGGTTTGATTAGACATAAATCTTCTTCCTCTTGTGCTTATTCAACTCATCAGAGTGAGGTTCAACCCTCCCCTCTAAATGTTGTTGCTTTACAATAATATTTGTAAAGTTGTGATATACAGGTTTGTGTGTTAATTATAGTTAAGATGTGCCAGCAGCCTGTGGTTGTAATGTAACTGGATTTGTGTTGTGAGTTATGCTTATTAGTGAGTTGAACGCTTCATTGAACAACATTGTGTTTTAGTGATGTGTTCTTCATCACTGCATTGACATGTTTTATAATGTTAACCTGGAGTAATTTATTATACTTTTTAGTCTGTATATGCATAAATGTGGATTATCTTTAGGAATACCTGCAGCTAACATGTCATTTGATTGTTTTGTGGAGACTAAAGACTGAAGTGTCTTGTTCGCTATTGAGATGTGTGCTAAAGATGAGCTGTGTGTGTAGGCAGTCTCTCTTTTAAACTCCCCCACCACCCTGCACAACCCTGATGCACCAGACGGGGCGCTGCTGCTTCAGCAAAGCCAAGTTAGTGTCAGAACCTAAAGCCCTGTAACATTAAATGGACTCGACTTACCCAGTGTTGTCCTGACACTAACCCACCCCTCACCCTGGTGTTCTGAATCACCCCTGAATGTCACACCCAGTAACGATTGTGCTAACTGCATGAGTGAGTTCAGTTTGGCAGTCTCGTTCTTTTTTTTTTTCTTTTGTAAGCGCATGGTCTTTGCTAACTCTTTGTTCATTTTGGGATTCTTTTTTGTTATTCTGTATGGGTGCTCACCACAGTTCATAACTTACCAGCTAACAGTTACCAGCTAACTAATTGGCATTATCTTACTTGTATTTAGAACAACATGTGCAAATCTAATTGTTTTCCTTCTTGATTCTTTTTTAGACTTTCTGTAAATTCATTTTTTCTCCCTAAGACCAGATCAAAATCAGTGAATTCTTTTCTTGTTGCCAGTTTATTTTATGTGCACCCCAAAATGAAACTTGTGTCAACATTTACTTAAACTCATGGGTGCTTCTGTGGAACATAAAAAACTATTTTATCTGCTCTTTTTCCATACAATGAAAGTGAATGGTGACCAAAAATGGCTAGAAATATTTAAAGGAATAGTTCACCCAAAAATGAAAATGTGCTTAAAATTTGCTCAGCCTCAGGCCATCCAAGATGTAGATGAGTTTGTTTCTTCATCGGAACTGATTTGGAGAAATTTATTTAGCATTACATCACTTGCTCACCAATGGATTCTCTGCAGTGAATGGGTGCCGTCAGAATGAGAGTCCAAACAACTGATAAAAACATCAGAGTAATCCATAAATACAAGACACAATTCCAGTCCATCAGTGAACGTCTTGTGAAACGAAAAGCTGCGCCCATCATTAAGATGTTTTTAACTTCAAACCTTTGTTTCCGGATAAATATAAGTCCTCTATCAATAATATTGCGTTCTTCAGTTAAAATATTGTCTTGTCTGAATCAGGAGAGAAATATGCACCGATCAAGCACTGTTTACAAACCAAAACAGTTCTAAACAAATATGTAGATGGATTTTGATGTGAGAGGACAACAAGGGACTTTTTCCAATGGAATCGTATTTTGGTCAGAAGAAACATCCATCAATCCAATAAATGGATCGATGAATTAATGGACAAGTTGATGGACAAGTGATATAATGCTAAATTTCTCCAAATCTGTTACAAAGAAGAAAGTCAATAACAATTGGGGCTGTATTATAGAAACTTCCCATCTATATTCTCAATTTGGGATTTGAAAGATCTATTTCCATTGAAATTACCATGCTTACTAAACAGGAGTCTGACCCTGGTCACCATTAGCTTTTATTGTATAGAAACTAGCAGCATAACATCTCCTTTTGTGCTCTGCAGAAGAACAAAAGTCTTATGGTTTGGAATGACATGATGGTGAGTAAATGATAACAATTTTCATTTTTGGGTAAATCTCTTCAAAGTGATGTGCTTCAGTAATGAATATTCTATGTCCATGTTTTACTCTGAACATGCCAATTTGTCCTTGGGCTTCAGTTCTCTTCTCCATATTTGTCTCCCCTCTTTCTTCCTCCGCTTCATCCTCCTCTCTCTATTTCCACAATCTCATGTGGTTGGTAGTCATCTGTGAGTAAAGCTTTTTCACCCCATTGCATTTTTAGAAAGTTGTTTTCAGTGGATGTGATGTCACAAACCATGTGCTGTTTTGATTGTATGATGATTCTCAGTTAGAACTTGCATTTACGTTGGAAGTTTAAATCAGATGTTTTATTTATGTGTATATCGTGGCTTAATTGCGATGAGTGACTGAATTATGCATATACTCAGGACACTTCAGATGCAAGTTTTCCAGTTGTCCTAGGATTGTAATATTATATCTTTGCAGAGAAACCTATTTACTCTTTCAAAAGTTGTAATTAATTGTTACACTAAGTGAAAGTATTATTTATATACTGCAAGCATATAAAACCAGGATAAGCATATCGATTTGAAGTCGAACAGCTATTTAGTCAAGTCTACCTTTCGAATGCAGTTTTATACAGTGCCTTCATCAAGTGATCACATAGAGTTCAAAGAGAGGGCATGTTAAAAAAAAGAGATTTTTTTAATTTAATTGAATTTTATTTAATCTTTAAAAAAGTATTTTGAATCGTTTTAAATTGAAAATGTGAAGTGATTTAGGTAGTTTCTTATGAAGTATTCTAGTATATATGATAGAACTTAAAGATCCTAATACTCTTTATGTTGAAGTTTAGCTTTATCTTGACATTTTTTTCCTATTTTTTGAGGACTCCTTGTGTGAAGGAATCAACTTTGACTGCCCAGATGAAGTTAATGACTGTTTCCGCTTCTGAATGAGATGGGGGAATTTCCAAAATCCTGCATGAAAATGAAACTTTGCTTTTAGATTCTCCCACTCCCCACCTTCTGCTTGCTTTATCGGTGATGGATCTACATTTCCTATCAGCTCCTTGCATGACATATCACCACTGCTATGACTACAATGAATCATTTATCATCATGATATATATATATATATATGTGTGTATATATTTATTTATATATTTTTATATATGTATATATTTATATATTTTTATATGTATATATATATATATTTATGACTTAAATATTCTTAGTTATTTTAAATGATGATGCCTTATTGAAGACTGAACAAAAGAGATCCTCTCCATGAACTGAATGTTATCTGTTAAGTTGGTCACAACGTGGGTTGTGCAAATGATGATAACCTCCATACAGTTTGTGTTGCAATACAGTGTTGTTTGCGACAATGCATTTTCACAATCATAACTATTACAACATAGACTGTAGTCAGTTATCAGAAAGAAGAAAAGCCTTTTTCAGGGAATCATTGGGACAGAGATTTGACACAGATAGAGGAACAGTTTATATGTTATAACAAGTAAGTTTTGCAGATTGTGGCTTAAAAGGAATGCACTTAACGAGAGGTTTTAAATGACAATGAATTATTTTTGTCTTGCACATATTCTTAATAAGAATGTTACTCTTGTGGGATATTGTACAAAGTTCAAGCTAGTGATGTAATATTTTTATAGAAATGTATTTGTGTGTCACATCACAACAAAATGACAAGGATTTGTAGGATGCAGTATTTAAATGAAGTATATTTTATTGGTCAGGTCACTGTTTGAGATGCTAGCAAATATAGTTGTTTTGAATGTAGTCTGTGCTCCTTAAAGCATCGCTATGTAACTTTTTCTGTGTTCAAAATTTGCAAAATGTATATAATGAGCGAGTACATCATGAATTCATCTTCCAAACCGCGTTTTTGTCTTATTCCGCATCACTACGGTACACTTATAATAAGTACTTATATTTGGACTATTGTAGCCTGGTCGGGTCCTCACCGCTGCGGAGTAACACATACCTGCGTGAATCGCCATAGACATAAACTTAGAGAAGTAGCTCCGGTTGGAATGTTCTTCCGCGGTATGTGTGCAGTTCTGTTTATTAACCGCTAGAGCGCCAAAAGTCACATAGTGCTGCTTTAAGCAAGAAATGTTTTCTCTGGTTATGTGTTTAAAACTGGAATTATTAGCTTAACAAGTCGGTTTATATTTTTGTGTGAGGAGCTGCACTACTCACATTTCACATCTGAAGCTCAACAGCATGTCATCAACCGTCGACACTGCATGAAACAGTTAAATAAGGTGCCCTTTGACTTTCTTATGGCTGAATGTTTAAAGAAAAAATGCCTCAAGTTCTGTATCTATCCACTAATTACTTGTATTTTATTTTTTTACTTTTGTAATCACATTTTGCCTCACTACTTCATTTTAAATGGTGTGACATTCATTTTTAAAAGTATAAATATTCCACGTACTATCTGAATTAGTGTTGTAAATGCTGCATGCATAATAATAAATTATAATAAATAAATTTGCAAAATGCTACAGACTTATGCTGTCCAAAATAATTTTAGCGTGTCACACCACAGGACACGTCAACTTTTCAATTTCAAGTCAACTCCCCATGATCAATGTCCAGGACATTAATATCATCAGCACTTGTTCATTCAGTCCTTCTGCATAAAACTAGCAGTTTTCACTACAATCAACCTGCATGCATTGCCTGTAAGTAGTGACTGGTGTGATGGCACAGTACATATTGCACACAATCTGACTTATAAATTATACATACAGTTACAATGGCAATGCCACAGAATATAAAATATGGGATTCGCTGTCAGACCTTGGAAAATTGCCTGCAATGTTTTGCAATATTGATTTCTCCTATTACATACAGTTAAATATCTGTTTTGTCAGATTTAATGTGTAATTCATGTTCCGCGTTATTATAAATGATTTCATATACATATGGTTAACAGGTGTAACAGTGGCATTACGGCCACCAGATGGCGCCAAAAGACTTGTCTTAGTAGCATCAGCGCAATAAAGTCTTTTGACACTGGCTTGTTACATTATATGCAAGCAATGACATACTAGAGACTGTGCTAGATTTAGAATTTTGTCACAACTAAAATGATGGTGGCCTGGAAATGCTTTGGTTATAAAGCAAAATAGTTCTTATATTATGTATATTTTACATAATATAAGAACTATTTTATGTATTATATATTATATGTTCTTATATTTTATATATATATATATATATATATATATATATAATTTTTCTAGTTCTTTTAATGTAATGTTGTTCCACTGAAGTATCTGTAGTAAAAAAAAATTTTAAACACTTGTTTATCATGACAGTGTAGCTTGAAATATTCTGCAAGAATCAAATCAAATATTCTGACACTAAAAACCAATGAATAATAACTAAAGTATTTTCAATGTCCTAAATAACATTTGCCAGTAATATCAAGCCTGGCCGTTGCATTTCCTCTTTATCATATCATAATAGTGTGACTGACAGAAATGAATGGCTGCACCTGGAACACACCCACAC